GAATTTTTGTGAGAGAAACCAATTTAGGAGAATTTTCGTAGTAAGGAGACATTTAGCAACTTCCCTCAAAATACTCTGAAAAGTACTGTTTCTTACTGGCCAACAATTTGTTGATAATATGAAAAATGTAGAACATATAAAATTAGATACTAGAATACGATAAAATCTAAAGGACGATCACACATGCACTGAAAATGGGAAACGGAAGTTCAACATGTAACCATTAGCAATGAAACATGGGTTTGCAGCAACCTTTGCAATATGTGTTGGCTGTTGAATTTTATTTTACAACATTTCAAAGTTACAGAACATTTTCAATGAATTCGGCTTTCGGAGTGTCGAGAATGAGCAGATGTCCAAACACCATGTGAAATATGGAAACCTGTCCGGATACTACGAGCGAAGCGTTCTAGACAATAGTAAACTTTTTGTAAATCATACCATTTTGAATGCAAGTAACTGTGTTACTAACTTAACGCTAAAACAAATGGCAGGTGTGGAAGCGCTGCTATGGTCTTTGCCAATTCTTGCACAGTATACTCCAAAATTCCGGATTTTTAAATATTTTGAAATCTTTCTAAATGAGACTAATATCCCTCCAAGTGGTCGTTAAAGAAGAATTCATTTAAAATTCGTTCTGTGTAGGAAGCGGAAACATTCGAAAATTGCTCCAGTGACAGCACATGCCGATAGTCTGTTAACAAGGCACATGCCGATAGTCTGTTAACAAGGCTGGCTCATTTTTCTAAAAGCTGCTTTAAAGCAACGTGCTGGCAGTTCTGTGTAACATGCCAATTCTAATTCGCGCTTCAAATGAATAAGGAATTGAGCCCCCGTCACACTGACGAGGTCCAGCTGCAACACTGAAGGGGAATGTATGCAACGTAATGGGCCGAAACATCCCAATTCAGCTTCTATTTTTATTTTTACTTTTAATTTCTACAACGTTTTTAATCATAAAATATCTAAATTTAAATTTAGTATAAAGATAGAGTTACTTAAAATTTCAAAGAAACTGTGAGAACTGGAGTCTTATCAGCGTGTGAGAATGGTGGAGTCATCAGAATTGTTTATGTACACTAAAACTTCGTGCACACGCATCCAGAACTACAGGAGTTGCATTTCAGGCGAAGTGAAGACGA